TAAGATGTGTGGACTTCAACTCCCAGAATTCTGGGAGTTGAAGTCCACACATCTTAAAGTGGCCAAGGTTGAGAAACACTGATCTACGGCCTCCTCTAGCTCCTCTCCAAATGCAGCCAGTGATCAGATTCTTCTCATTAAAAATAATTTCTAAGTTAAAAAATAAAATAAAATGCTACCCTTTCCTCCCATTTCAAGCTTTGTTAGTGTTCCTTAAAAATAAGATTACAGTAGTACTAATACTAGTAAAACCACCCTTCCCTCCAGAGAATTACAAGAGAGCACTTAATTACAGCCAGTAGTCCTTAGCACAGTACATGCTCCAGTGGTAAAACATCCAGTGTTTATTCTACAGGAAGGGTGGGAATTGATATCGGCCCAGGCCTTTGGATTCAAGAGAGGTTTTGTTAAAACCTTATTTCTAAGGGAGGGGGCAATACCTCCTCTGCTAATGAAAGGCCTGGGGAGATTGGCTGCAGGTCATACAGGGAGCTATGATAGGCCCCTATATATCCTGCAGGCTCCCTAAGTCTGTTCTGTCGGGAGTCAGGAAATGTGGCAATTGCAGTTATAGAAGGTGAAATCCATTCACTCTCCCCTCTAAATGAAGCATGGCAGGGTAAGACTAGAGTTGTAGTCCAATACGTCTGAATGGTGCCAGGTGGTGGAAGGCTGAGCTACAACAAGGTCTTTGAGGGAGAAAACGAGGCAAGGATTAACAAGGATCAAAAAAGAGGCAGTTATGGCTGTCAGCAAATGAAAATGAGCAAATGAAAACACTTTGTTTTTAAAAATATGGCTGTATGACTACATTGGAAAAAATAATCTCTGTGAAAAGTGTACATAACCTTACATTAACGAAGAACCTCCCAAAATGCCAAGACTAGCTGCTCTTGTGTAAGAACAGATGTTCAAAGAGAATTGTTCTAGGGTAAGCCTTTGAGAAGGAGATATGCAGGAAATTTGGTTTGTGGTTCGTGAAAGAGGGTTCTGTGAAAATGGGCCTTCTGCAGGAAAGCATCCAGTAGACATACCAAGATGATTTTGCAAGACTTTTGTATTGAGAAGATGTATAGGCGCACCTTGGGGAAAGTTCTGCCTCTACAATAAAGTATCTGCTGTGCATGAAAAGGATCTTTTAATCCCCAGCATCTTTTAAGTAGCATTGCACAGGCCTCCTGAAACTCTGGACAGCTGCTGTCAATCCTGGAGATTCTGCTAAGATAAATCATCCACAGCTCATTTATACTAAGGCAGCTTCTTATGTGTGCTGAATTTGAGAGAAAAGCTGCATGTTGGCTTAATCAAGGTACATCTTTTGGAAGCCCAGGGACTGACCTGAAGGCACAGTTTGACAGCTAAGATTGGATTTTATAAGCTGCCAAAATGGAAGGCTGTGTGGGAATCACCCAGAAGTTGTTCTGAGTTCACGGGAGGGATAGTCAAGAGTGGGGCTGTCTAACAAACAGCAATTTCCTAAGATCACAACTTTTCTGTTTAGGCCACTAACACAAGTGCTTATGCACTGTTGCCTATTCAGTGCAAAATGAAACTGATTTTCAAATCTGCCCTCCGTCCTGCCTCATGGAACTATATTTCCAAGAATGCTGGTAGTAGTGTTGGGTTGAGGGGGGAGCAGGGAAAGAGCCCATCAGTGCAAATGAAGAAGCTGCTCCTTTGTGCCTCAAATGCCTATCATGTCCACCTTGCAAGAATAGTTTTCTCCCCAAGATCACAGTGTCTGGAGAAAGGTTCAGGTCATAACTGACCGAGGACATATAACTTAGCTATAAATAAGAGTTCCTTGGTTGGTCCAGCAGTATTTACAAAGGAAAGCCAAGCAGCCTGGGAATGAGTTGAGGAGGGTGGGGGAAACTGAGGCGGATGTCAGTAGTATCTTCCCGTTTCCTGCCAGTTTGTCACCCACCGCTTCTTGTGCTTTGGAGGCAAGAAACCGCCAGCTGGCTGGTAGCGCTCCTCCTGCCGGATGCGAATGGCGTGGTACTTGGGCATGATTCGGTAGTAGCGGGTTGGCTTGAAAAAGTTGCACTGTGGATGGAGAAAAGGGCAGGGGGAGAAATACGTTCAGTAGGAGAAAACCAACAGTGAGAGAGACCACAGCTGAGAACCTGAGAGAGAGAAAGATTCAGAGACAGGACAAGATGAAAGAGCAGCAAGAGATATTTTTATCTGTGAGAGAAAAAGAACAAAGTGAGCCGACACATTTGACCACTTAATCAGTGACGGGCTGATCTGGGAACTGAGAAACTCTGATTCTTGTTACAGCCATTTTGTATGAACCAAAAAACCACTGTAACAACTGACAGTGCATCTGGAGAAGAATGCAGGTCTATTTCCTCTAGTTGAGGGTTTATTTTGGAATCATCATTCTTGTTCATTCACGTTTTATAAGAGAGTTGTATGTTACTGTCATCCATCTATACTCCTCCTGTATTTTCCCAATGCTATTGTTGTCTTTCTCCTACTACAAAAATGCAAATTCTTTTGGACAGAAGAGTACTATAATCTCCACAGGCAGATATGCCTTTAGCACGTGTAGGTATCTGTGGAAGGATGCGTGTGCGTGTGCGATGTCATGTGTGTTATGATGCAAATGACGCAATCTCTGACAGTTGCATTATAAATTATGTAATCCATGTCATGGGTACGGCATCATAGTTTCTTACAGATACCTATTTTATTTTTTCAACCTATTTAAGGCAAGGTTTTGAAGTGGGCAGCAATCTGCAGCGAAGATCACATTTTGTGCTAAATTTGCAGTGGACATCATTTTTATCACCTTTTCAAAAACAGTATTTTGAGTAGTGGTAAAGCACTTTTATGGATTAAAAAAACTATATTAAATTAATAGTAGCAGAAGGGTAAAATGTAAACCTGAAGATTGCATCCATCTGATCAGCATTCCATTCCTTGCCCTGAGCATTTGCCCAGAGTTGATGGAGCCAAAGTACAACTGGATATCACTGGCATGCTGATGAAACCTGATCCTGAGCCAATGAATAACCTCACCAGGTGGTTTTATGTAGATGTGAAACAAAAGGGATGAGAGTACCAAGCCCCAAGACAACCCACAAATAAGAGGCTGCAGGCTTAATCTCTCCCCCCCCATCAACATTGACTGGGACTGACTATGAAGAAAGGAGGGGAACCACTGCCAGCTCCCACTCCCTGCAGCCAGTCCAGAAGGATACTATGATTGGTGGCTCTGCCGCAGATTATTGACAAGCACAATCAATGCTATCTCTATACTGCACCCCAGCCTGCAACAGTTCAGTAATAAAAAAAAGAAATCCGTACACCGCACAATAGAAAATACATTGTGAGCACCTTCCCCCACTACATTTTCATGACATGTTGGCAAGTTTTTTAAAAATATTGGAGGGAGGTTACCTACTCTGCTGAAAGCCCATTTCTTCGGCTCCTATTACAAATCTCTGCTAGCTGTGATGGTGAAACAACAACATGGAAGATTTTTGCAATTCGGTGCTAGTCACAATAGCTCTGAATATGAGTGCAGTGTAGAGCCCAGATGCTGGAAGCCACATTGAAGCCAATGCTTCAACTGAGTGCTTGTTGCAATGGGGCTAGGCAAAGATTTTCTTGCATCCAGAAATTGGGAGATGTGGGGAAACAAAAGCAAAGTCGGTAGAAAAATAGACCAGTTTTGTTACCAGCACAGACACAGAGAAATTCTAACTCAGACTTTGAATGACAGCGTTGTGGAAATGGGTAGGTAAAGAGCTGATCCAGGAACAGTGCAAAGATTGCATATACTTTAGCAGATTTCTATCAATGAAACTACTAAAGTTATGCTGCTATAATGCTTTCATTCACTATTTCTATAATAACACTTATTAAAAGTCTGATTAGAAATAAATAGATGGCTGATAAAATGTGTCCCCCTTACGAAGAGTAGGATGAAAATGTGCTCAAATCTAATTTCAGTTGCCCAATAAATTACTAGAGAAACATAGGATAATAGCGTGGGTGGAATTTCACACTCAGAGAAAATGCACACTATCCCTTAACAGTCCAGAGAGTTAATTGCAATTCTGCTTATGGAAGCAATGATTTATCTGTGCTAAAAGTGGTCTGACTGGAAACATCACAGATCAATACCTGGTATTTCTTGACAGTACTTACAGGAAGAAAACAGAACAGGCTAGCAAGCGTGAACAAGACAGTGAACATTTACCAAAGCTGGTACAGTTCCTTATCTTCCTGAGAATACATTCAGATTTTTGAGGTTTTGATAGGGATGCTCCAAAATCCCAATTAAGGTTAGGAATGGCAGCCAAAAGGTGGTGTTACATATTCAGCCTTCCTGAATACAGAAGATCAAAGGCTATATGGAACAGATGTTTATATTATGGGATTGGTGGTCAAGTCCATGGTCTTCAATAGAAAAAGATGTTCCATGCACAACTTTCAGCTAATGAGGGATTTTACAGGATCCTTTCTGTCTTTAGGGAGTCTTCTGCCATATGTTATCCCCTTTTTTTTAGATAGTTTCATTCCTCCCTACCGAAGTTGCACTGGGAGACTGGCAGAAAGTAACAAATATGAGAGTAGGTTTTAATTTGAGTGCCTGCCTGCACGGGACAAAGAAGATATATTAGGAAACAAAACTTCAAGACCACGGCCACACAGCCCGGAAGACCCACACCAGCCAAAGAAGATATACTTCATTTCCCATTAACAGCACTGGGCAATTTCTAAAATGAGCTGTGCTAGAATTAAAGTCTGTCTGAAATCCATTTCTTCAATGGATGTTGAATTTGTTAGATACTGGCGATGGGCAGGCATTCCTGACTACTGTCTGTGGCATCTCTTTCCTTACAAAAATCATTCAAAATCACTTCATCCAGGGTACAGGCTTTTAAAGGTGACCCCAACCACTACATTCAAATTAAGCTCTGAGTACTGTTTTCTATTTTCCTGCTTTGACACAGCATTCAAACTATCAATGTAATTCTGTCAGGCCCTTCAAGTTTGCAATTTAGCTGTCCACTTTGCATCCCATTTGGAGTGTTTAGCTCAGTGTTCTTCAACTTGGCAGCTTTCAGATGGGTGGACTCCAACTCCCAGAATTCCCCCGTTAGCCATGCTGGCTGGGGGGGTCTGGGGGGTGGGGTCCACCCATCTGAAAGCTGC